AAAACAAACAACAACAGAAAATTTGGAATTTGAGGTATGCGGATACAGACACTAAGTCTAACACAACAGCATTTTTAAGCGTGATTAAACGGTCCAAACATACAATACATCTATTTCTATATAAAAATATGTGTAGACTGGACAAATGAAACAATTAAATTGTGCATTCAACCACACAGTGGCACTATAGGGTAAGAGATACTTGACCAATGGAAATCAATGGGTTGGAAATTATATTTTTACCCCTGTAACCCCTGGCATTTCTTGCTCAATGACATGTCAAAATTTACATCCGGAGATATTCTTAGGCAGAACTAAGGTGGTGTGATTCATTCAGTGAATGCGGTGTTCCTCTGAGATTTGTGATACTAATTTTATGTCAGCTGAAATATTAAATCTAGATCTCATAAATCACAGTGGTATTTGTCTGCCACATAAACTTTTCTGTGATTACGGTTAGGCTGGTCTAAGGACAAACCTTTATGCATATTAACATTTACTATTGCTAGTTAGATATCTAGAGGTCACCACCTCAGACTAATGTCCCTGATAAAGAGATCGTAACCAGATCAATGTCTCATTTTAACAATCTCTTTACAAATGATGGAGAGAATAGCAGGAGGGGATTGATTTTTCTTGTCTTCTTCTTCAAAGAGAAATACATTCTGATCTAATGGGGCTGTTAGTGAGATGTATGGAGTGCCGTTGTGATGAGATGTTTGTGGGAGAGCTGTCCAAACCAAAGTTTTTGTTGATTAAAATCTGATCGGGATGGAGTGGCGATGGCAGAGACTCAGCACTTTGGTTTGCAGAGCTCAGCAAAACGGCGACGAGCAAATGAACACTTCATCAGAGCAGAGAGATCCTTCGCCATACAAACACACATCTGATATCTGCTCCAGTTTTCCTCCGCAGAGCCCGCGTCACTCACTGCACAGCGGATTATGCACAAATAATAGTATGTGCAACCTGATATGAGACAGTTTTCAGCTTTAACTCTCTGATGCTCCTCATGAGGCGGACAAAGATTAGGGTTTTATTTTCTTCAGTGAAATTTTTTATTTAATATTTCAATCTCAACAAAAAAAATAAATAAAGCAAAATATAAAAAAGTTAAAGAGGTTTGTTATGAAAAATGCACAAAAATATTTTCAAATTTGAAATGGTAAATATTATAAATTTTTCAAAACATGTTTTACTCTAAAACTGTGAGAAAATAAAAGCCACAAATCTAAACAAGTTGTGTTCCAAATTTGAGGTTGATATCACAAAAATGAGCTTTCAGTAAGATTTTGTTTGTGAACAGTACAAAATATTTCCACTGGACGAATTTCTTTATTCCATGCTTTTCCAATGCAGTCATTTTTGACCGCAAGGAGTACAAGAGTTACTATTTTTTCAACCTTTTTAAATCGTGTCCATCATTTTTTTGCATTCACATAGCAAGTGCCAAAACCTTTACCAAGTCTCCTACCATTTAGGCCTAATTAAAAACAAAACAAGACAAACAAAAAAACTACATTTTTTTAGTCAAAAACAAACAAAGGGCACCAGAGGCTTAAATGTCTGTTTTTTTTTTTTTGTAATTAATTTTTTTTTAAATGAAAATTTCTTGACAAACAGTAGAGTATATGTAATACTCCTGAAAATGAGAATGATTAGAAAAGGAACAACATAGATGCATTGTTTCCTCAATTGCGGTTTACCTTGAATGAATCAATATATATTCAGAATATTCACAACTCGCTTCACAGTAACAAAAAAAAAAGACAACACATTTTACAAGTATACTAGACATATTTATGCAATCTTTTACCAAAAGCAATGTATAATTTCAGTGACACAAGCAATTCACACACACACACACACACACAACACATTTTGTCAAGCAAATATTACTCAATAGTTGTGACGATGGCCTAAAGTCAATAAAAGACATACTGGATTGATGAAAGGGTTAGTTCACCCAAAAATGAAAATTGGCTCGTGTTTTACTCACCCTCGAAGCATCCTAGGTGTATATGAATCCCCGACATGGATGTACTTCCTCAATGGTGGTTTACCTTGAATAAATCAATTTATTCACAGTATAGCAGTAACAAGACAAAAACATATTTTACAAATACTGGACATGCAATCTTTTAGTAAAGGCAACGTACAAACATAGTATTTCAGAGACATGAGCCATTTAAATTGTCTTTTTCTTGGTTTAAACCACATTTTAAGAATATTTTCGAAGAAGTAGATGAAAAAGCAATTGGCTAACATTTTCTCAATTAATACTCAATCCATCGTGTTTAAAATCAAGCAACACAAACATTTCATTAAGGCTCAATTAACCGGCATAAAAGGGGTTAAATGTACTAAATATGAAAGATTAAGACACTGTTTAACTTTGAAACTAGCATTATAAACTATTGATTTAAATTAGACGGCCTTCAACCTTTATCGTGTAGCATCCTAGCATGCTAGTCGCGACGCACCCATGCTAATCATGTGCTTCGACAAACTAAAATCATGACACGCTGTTACGATCTGCGTCTTTGGTATCTGCTGTAGTAGCGGGCGTAACACACGCTGTTAATAAAGTATATAGCCAACTTTTTAACATAACTCATTAGGTTTATGCCAAACCGTGTTTATCCTCAAAACGGAAGTGTGTGTTGTGTATTTTGACAAATAGCCTACCTGTGAAGAAACGCTGTGCTTCCTCAGTGGTGGTTTACCTTGAATAAAGCGTGATCTGTTGGATTTTCAGTCGTAGAGTCAAACTTATTTAACTTCAGATGTTTTTTACTCCACAGACAGGATTTATAAGGATGCAGCAGACGCGATGCTTGTCCTTCATGCTTCAACACAATCAATCTGTCCGTTTATCGCTCTCCCGTCGTATTTAGTCTCATATCGCTCACGGGCCGCTGCCCTTAAACTTTTAACTCATGTCAGACTTTCACCTTCTGCTAAGAAAAGCTTGAGATAGTCTCACAGACGGTCACATTAAGACAGTTCATTAGGAGAATTCTAATTCATAATCTGTGACCCTGAGAGAGTTCAGATGAGACGAGAGTGAGATTGATTCTCATTAACTGACGGTAATAAAGATGAACTGATGCCTTCAGTCATCCACCACATCAGTCCCTTCATTATAATTGAAAATGTATTGAAGAAGCCACCGAGTCACTGTCTTTTGATATCTGCCACATTCAAAGGAAAGGAAACTTTAGTTCATTGACTAAAAGTGTTGATGTAACTTTCTCCTTGCAGATGACATCTAGGGTTACCACCTTAAGCTAGGCAAAATAAGGGACACCCATTCACCCCCCCTCCCCTCCAAAAAAACAAAAAACCATGCTCAAGTAGGCTATGTAAACTTCCGACAGAACATATTAATATTGCTATTTTAAATTGGATTATTTATAATTATTATTATTTTATTATTTAATTTTTTTTTGACAGTTCTGCAGCTGTTGCCTGGATGGGATGAATTTTTATTATTTATTTATTTTATTATTCATTTGCTTAAATTAGGTCTACATTTATTTGTCCCATTTTTATCTAAATAATTTAGCATTTTATACAACTTTTTAAAATGCCAAATTGTATATGATATTTTTGATTATTTATTATGATATATTTATGATTAATATAAATGATAAATTAATAAATAGGGTCTAACATTAATTATAATCTGTTAATTCATGTCTAATAATGTTTAAAATATAATAATTATGTCTACCAAGCTCTGATAATGTATGGAATATTATATTAACAGACTATCCAAATTTTAATAAAACAATAGGCCTATACCTTAGCACAGATGTGTCTGTCACTTTTAAGGTATGGTTCACCCCAAAATTTAAATTCTGTCACAATTTACCCAGGTTGTTCTTAGCCTGCATAAAGTTCTTTATTCTGTTGAACACAAAAGAAGATACTTTGAAGAATGTGGGTAACTAAACATCTTCTGGTCCTCAGTAACTTCCAAGGTAGGGAAAAAATATTATCAGAGTCATT